GAAAGCATCCTCGGAACAGGCCTTCTTTCACTTGGGCCAGCCTGTCCTGTTTGCCCAGGGTGGTCTCTGAGCTGAGGATCTCTGGGAAGCTCCATGCAGGAGTGTGTCCCTTTCAGCAAGAGAGATAAGCAAACTTCACTATTGAGTGCACTGAACTTTCAGTTCCTGGTCTTCAGGTGCAAGGGGTTTCTGCAGGGCTAGGCTCTGGGCCACAGCCCACTCATGCCCTTCACCGGCAAGCAGGGATAGTGGGCATTGGTGTATCTCGATGCCTGCTCAGATGTCAGCTCTGCTTGCCAGCTCAGCACTGGGATGAGGCCTTGGCACAGTTATATGATAAACACACATGTTCTGTTCTCTGCTGGGTGCTGATGACAGCTGAATCAAATCCTGGGACTTCCTCAAGGCAAGAGCTGACACTGCATCGTGGGCTATCGGAATCTGATGCTCCCATATGCTGGAATCCCAGCACTGGTTCCATACCACACAGACTATGATCTGGATCTGGTCCTCCGTTGCACAGGTTGGGTTCAGAAGTCAGCCCAATATTGAATAGGGGGTCCCAGTAGTGACACTGGTCTAGGGGAGACAATGGCTACACTTTCTCTGGACTTCCAAACCAGGCCTGCCCTGTCCTTCTTCCCCTGTGTCTATGAGTCCAGAAGAAACACCTCTCTCAGATCATGTCATACACAGGCATGTCACCAACGCTGCAACAAGACAAAGGCCATAGTGGATACATCTACACAGAGATTCCCAGAGCCACATTCAGCCCTCTGACCTCCTAGGTCTCTAGGATCCTGGTGGCCACGGGCAGGAACAACAATGAAGGCCACATACCCATGGATGTTCATCCGCTCCAGCCATTTCCTGTTTTCTGAGAGATACACAATCTGCCCAGAGGACACAGCCAGGTCCAGGGAACAGCAGACTGGAGAAGACAGCACAGGACAGGTCCCATTCGAATGCCCAGCCATCCCTCAGACCAGCAGGTTTAGGGCCAGGTTGATGAAGGGAACAGAGTGTCCTAAAGATAAATTTTGCAGACCCTGTCCCAAATGTTGGATGAGGAAGGCAGGACAGCTACCACACCTGTTCATGATTTAGTGCGGACATAGCTGAGGCCAGTGGCTCCAGATAGGGTGACAGGCTAGTCCTCAGCAGCCAGTGTACAGGGGTTCCAGGGCAGGTGGGCAGAAAGCCCTGGGCATCAGTAAGAAGCAAGGTCCCAGGTTCTCTCATGCAGTGCCCCTCCACCTGGGGCACACACCGAGAAGCTGTTTCGTCCCACGGGGCTCTGACATGTATCTGAGAGGATATAGGATAGGACGATGGATGTCAGAATAAAGATTCAAAGTGACTCTGACAGGTGCAGAGCGAGAGGGTGGCATTTAACAATCATAAATGTCAGCTCCGTGTTTGGATTAGAATGAAAACAAGGCGGAGTTAGGAGGCCAGGGAGGCCCGGGGGCCTGTGTCAGCCGG